ACAAAAAAGAAAACAATGATGCTTTGCCTTCTTCCAGTAGCCTATCTTAAAAAAGATAATTATGTGTAAATGAAATTCAGATCTTAACTAAGTCAAATGTTTGTTTTACATATTTAAAATTCTTTTAGCTACACAAGAGCCATACTGGGTTCACAATTAATCATTGTGTGTGTGTGGGGGGGAGAAACCTCATGAGAAAGAATAGTTTGTTTCTTTTCTTTTGCAAGGTCACTAAAAAGTAATTTAGGGACTTCCCTGGTGGCTCAGTGGTTGGGAATCTGCCTGCCAGGACACGGGGTCGATCCCTGGTCCAGGAAGATCACACGTGCCACGGAGCAACTAAGCCCGTGCACCACAACTACTGAGCCCGTGAGACGCAACTGCTGAGGCTCGCACGCCTGGAGCCCGTGCTCTGTGACAAGAGAAGCCACCGCGATGAGAAGCCCACACACTGCAGTGAAGAGTAGCCCCTGCTCGCCGAGAAAGCCGGCAAGCAGCAACAAAGACCCAACGCAGCCAAAAAAAACCAAGTAATTTAGTTTTGTACCTGTAAAAGTAATTCTAAATTATACCTACCAGAGAAGTGAGATTTTTAAAAACAAGATGAGAAATAAATAAAATACAAGTGGAGGGTAATGACAAAGCACAAAAAAAGGTAACATATACATGTGATTAATTTCAACTGCTTCCCTAAAAAATGTTGCTTAAAACAAGCAACACTGATTCTCATCAATTTCATCTTTTTTTCAAATCCGATATTTTATTAGGGAGCACAGAAAGAACCAATGTGTTAGACTTATGATGGATGAAGAAAGGAAAATCAAACTGCAATTAAGAGCGCAAGTTCACTGATAAATCTGTCTCTTTTAACAGTGTGATAATGGATGTCCTAATTTTATAGTATACAGAGATATGTTGTGAAAATTAAGACTTTTTAACCTAAAAGATTCAGTTCTATATGATTACACATGTTAAAGACCACTGAATGATTAGCCTTTAAAAAGTTTTACTTACTCTTGCAATGCCCATTCAATAAGATTGGAAAATTTTATCTCAATTCCTGTAATGTATATAAATGCTGCTTATCACATGGAGATTCTTTCGAAATGAAGATACTTAATGAGGATGAAACATTATATTGTCTCAAAAAGCACTCAACTTTTCAAACCTTAACAGAGAAGTCTTTTTGATTTCTAGGAAGATCTCAATCATTCCACAAACATAATGAATCTCGTAAACTATAGGGTCACTTTATAAGCCATGGGTCATTACAAATATGCAACACAAACAAGAAACTGCACATTTCACTCAACTAAACAGATCCTGAGAAATAAAGCTACTTAAAATGCCTTATATTCAGTCATTTAAAAATTATATCAGGAAACACTTAAATATTTGGAACTCATTTTCCCTACTCTTCTATCCAGTGAGTTGGATTAATCTTAAAATAACAAAACAAAGCAATGGAGTAACTAAAAATAAATATTTCAACTAAACACCATAGGTCTGGAAAAACAAACAAACACACTGCAGTAGTGATGTTGAACCTTCTGAGATTTTAACCACCTTTTCATCTGAGACATTTAATCACTTAAAACTAAACTGAGTTTACAACTAAGTATAAAGACACTTTTGTCAGTCGCTTAACTGCCATGAATTCCATTCAGGTAATTATCCTAGATCAACTTCTAAGCTATAAACTCCCTAAGGGAAGAAGCACATGTTACTGGTCTCTGTATCAGCAGTACTGAGCTGCTGTACATGCCACATGATAGGGGTTCAAACCTGGTAAAAGGAACAGACTTCCATCTAACTTTCCCGATGTTAGAAGTGATTAAGTGGTTGCCTTTGCAACAAAGCCCATTCAGATTGCAGTGCATGCTGGATTAAGATTTCTGCGTTTTAGCTAAAGTCCCCGGAGAGCAGCACCCAGTAGCATGGGGCAGAAAGAGGTGTCAGCTTCCTCTCCCAGCAAAGAAGCGACTTGGTTCAGGTTGCAATGAGGCAGCACTCACTTCCACGCTTCAGGAAGTTATCTGAGGAAAGGCGGAGAAGAGGGTTTCCAGAGGCGCCCACAGGCAGGTGAGATAAATCACAAAGAGCATTATCAACCTCATTTGCAGGGAAAGTCACATTTTAAAAATAACTCACTCTTAATAAGAGGGGGGAGGGAATATTCCCTTGTTGAGATCACTAAGTTGCCAATATGAGCTAAGTAAAACAAAAGGTAGCATGAAAAAAAAAAAAAAGGTAGCATGAAATACCTCACTGAAGTTATGTGATTTCTGTTGCCTACTCTCATCATTCCAAAATAGCTCCTGACTCACTGCTCTCCTTAGGAGATACTACTTGGAGGGCTGGGGGGGTCATACCTAACAAGGGCTCCTCGCTGGGGCCCGGAAGTTTTCCTAGACTTTACCTCACATACCTGCTCTCATTTTTAGGGGTTCTGATACACCTATTTCACAAACCAATACTTCAACCACCTTCACTGTAATTAAAAACAGCTCAGGCAGCATCCAGGATACTTTGACAGATTCTGCCAACTGTCAGTTTCAGCTGTTCTTTTTCATTTCCACCATAGTTCATAAACTACTATCACAGGAGCCTTAGATTTGTTTTTGGCCTGAACTAATCACTCATTTTCTTTCAAAATCATTCCTTTTGTTTTGATTTTGCCCCTAGACTTGCAATTATATCCAAAACTAAGGAAGAGATAAATTTTTATTATAACCTAACATTAGTCAAAAATATATTCATAAAACATGAAACTCTCCACCCACAATATTAAATTTTAGATACAGATACCTGTCAGAGTAAGGTAATTTAGGATTGCCTAGGTAAAACTTTAAAGGCCATTTAAAGCTCTGTTCCCTTTTGTTTTAAGTAGGTGCAGGAGGCTGTGCTTATTCCACAAACACTTATTAGGTACAAACACCTACTAAGTGTGGAAACTTCCACAAATGCCTTCTCTTGACAACTTAGATGAAACAAGTCACTATTACTGAGAGTCACAGCCCCAAATGCAGACTTGCAGAAAAATTATGCCATAAACATTCACTCCTTTGCCTCTCCAGTCCACCTTTAAGACTTTATTAAGGACTAATAAATTAGTTTATAAACACATTTAATTACACTGAAGTATCTAAAATCTGGGCTATGTGCAGGGGCTTATTTTCATGTTTTAAAGACCAATCCCCTTCGTTTTAAGTTCATCTCAAGCTTCCCTTGGTAAAACCATGGACATTCATGCAGCTTAAATGTTGTGGAAAACCATGAATTTTCTTTTATGATGCTACCACTCCACAGCTTAGAGAGAATGCAGCCTTCAACATGAAAAACTGCCACTTGATTTTTCTTCTCTGACACATTTTAAACAGAAGAGCTGCGGACTCTCAAGGGAAGCCATATTTCAAAGATTTTGAATAGTAGTATTTGTCAGTGTTTTCTCTCATTAAAATTGGTACAATTCATCCAAAACATTTTTCAAATGCCATTATTTTCCAAGCTTACATGCTTCAAAACTGCTTAGAGAAAATCTCTTCATCTGAGAGATTTACTTCAAGAAACCAACAGCAATTATGAAAACTGCAGGAGAAAAAGAAATGATTCACTTTTACAGGCTGGAAAAAATTTTAAAACTCACCTAAGACCTTCATTTTACAGATTAAAAAAACAAGAGTCCACAAAGGTCAAGCAATTTGCCTCAGATCACCAAGCTACTAATAGCAGCACTAGAAATAGAATGAGGTATTTTAATTGCTGTTAGCAGTATCCCAAATCATGCAAGTTATATATATTCTCATCACTTTGTCATTTAAGTTTTAAAAACAAGTATCACTCTTTCTCATCAATTCCTGATGGACTCCTACAACGTACATTCTACATCTTCAAACTTAAGTTTATGAACTTCAAGTTCTAATTCCAACAAAAAAGGGTAGTACTAGTAAGAACTTTCCTCTGAACGTTCTAAGAATGAAAGTTTAGGTGTGCACACCCCTAAACTGTCACAACGAATTTCAGTGTCTGTCCTTTCAATCTTTGTCCCTTAACTACACTTTAGATGTGTTTATTCAACTACGAAAAAGAGAGAGAGAGAAAATTCTAGAAGTTCCTCTTTGACAAAAAATCATTGAAAATCTGTCAATGAAACTAGATCATTACTCCATTAATATATTATGGAAGTCTGGCTTAAATTAGTAAGAGTCACTAGCATTTTATCGAGTTACTGTGTGAAAAGTTAAAAAAGGTAGGAAAACGGCACTCTTGGTTGACTTTGGATCTGAAAGAAGGTATACATCTGACATTGTTAACACAAACTGAAGACTTGATCATAAAAGCAAAAAAAAAAAAAAAAAAAACCAGAGAAAGTGAACAAGTTCCTTTAACAAAAAGCTGTTTCCTATTCAGGCTCTGATCTTTAAATGCAGGGCACTGTGGACTCCTCCTAAGACTTTCAGATTTTCGTTTTAAATGCCCCAATAGAGCAATTCTATAGATTTTAGCTTCGGCTATTCAAGGGCAAAAAGGAGGGCACAGTGAGGACAATTTACACTGGATCATTTTCAAGGACTGTAGTCTAACCACTCATTACTTAACAATTGTCCTTTGTGCACCTGATTATTCTCAAAGTACTGAGAGAACGCAGGACTTCTTTTTGAAAGATACCGGCAACAAAACCTAAGAGAACACGACTTTGATTATAAACTGCTGCGGCACTTCGACCAGGAAAGGGCAGTACGTGTGGTCTTCTTAAATACCCCTAATAAAGCTACATTCTGGTTACAATAATAGACGTATGTTCCTTAATTACGGCCTCCGGTGTTACTCCACAAAAATAACTTCTTAAAAGGTTAATACACCTATATTTTTAAAGCACGACCAGCTTGGCAAGGTGGCAAATTTGTTTGAAAACATAAAACACAGACAATTCACCACCACCGCTCAGTAACACACATACATAAACAGACTCGAAGCGGGGTTAAGCACAAAATCCTTACCCCATTTTGCCCAGTGAAAACTTGCTCGGAAGTTTCTGCTCTTATGCTACGGAACAACTCCAAAGGAATTTCTCCGTCCGTTATTTCGCAGTTGCTTTTCCACCCCCCGAGATCCTTTTGTGGAGGTATTTCAGTGATGCTGAAAATTCAGTTAGTTCCCTTAGATAAAATGATTTCTCTCTGGGAAATACCAAAATGTTCAAACAGAGGTGGCATTTGCTTATTAGAGTTAAAATGCTGCGCGGAGGAGACGGCGGTCAACTCTATTCCACAAAATGAGTCTATGAATCGGGAAATGCAGAATCCAGCTTCACGGAGTCCTATAAAAAATGAGTTCAGTGGTCATTTCTCTCCTGTCCTCCTCCACACTCAGGGAGAGCCCAGGTAACTCGGCCTTTTCGGTGCTACTAAGGCTGCGGGTTCAAATTTCTCCACCACACCAGGTCCCTGGGGGTGGAGCGTGCAACCCAATGCGACGAGCACTTGAGAGATCCCTACGAGAAAATAAAAATCCTAAGCGCAGTAATGCCACTGCTTCCCTGCGCTCACATTAGAAAAAGCTATGTAGAAAAATCTCTTCCAAGTGCAAACCCAGCGGCTCGCGACGTGCATGGCACTCCACATTGGAATCTGTCTTTTAATTTTTTTCCCCCCTCCTAAGACTGGGAGCAGAGAGGAGGCGGGGAGGAGGAAGAGAAGGCTGGGCAGGATCGATTCATTCTCCCGAGGAGAACACACGGAGCCATTTCCAGGCTGGCAGCAGGCTGGGGGCGCAGCGCACGCCGGGGAGCAGGGGGAGGGGGCCGGATCCCACCTCCCTCAGCCCCTGCCCGCCCCCCGCCGCCGAGCACAATGGAGCCCGGCTCGCGCCCGGCCCTTCATTCGCTGCTGCCGCTCTTCCCTCCGCTCTTCGGAGCACCGCAAGTTCGAGGCTCCGGCGGCGGAGAATGAATGAATCAGAGAGCCAAGCCCCACGCTGCCCCCCGGCACCCTGCCCCCAGCTCCGGGACGGGCCGAGCAGCGGCGAAGGACGGGGCTGAAGGGTCGACGGGAGCCCGCCCGAGCCGAGGCGGGCGGCTAATCCCGCGTCGGGACCAGGGGAAAGGGGCTCGAAGCCGCAGAACCGCCGCTGCTCCAGCGCCCCCACCCCTGCTCCTCGCCTCTCCCGCTCCGCGCCGCCGCCACGCGTCGCCGCCACGCGCCGCCTCACAGTTCTCGGGCCCCGCCGCCTCCTTCTCACACTTCCATCACCGCCCGCCTTCGCCGGCCTCCAGCTCCTGCTCGGCGGAGCAGCGCTGGCCGGGCGGCCCGAAGCCCGCCGCTGCCTCCGCCTCCACCGGCCGCTCACAGAGCGGAGGGCGCCGCTTCCCAGGTCAGCGCCGCCCGCAAGAGGCGAGCGCGGCAGCGGAGCTGGCTGCGAGGGGCGGGGGAGGGGGCGGGGAGAATCGGGAGCAGTGCGGTCCCTCCCCCTGCTCGCGGGAGGGGGCGGCCGCGGCCGCGGAGACGCGGCCGGGCACCAGGGACTGGGGTGCTGACCCGTCCCGAGAGCCCGGGGCCCTGAGGGTAGCGGGAGGAGGCGGCAGCTGCGAGGGCGGCGGGGACGCTGGTGGTCACGGGCCGAGCCGGCCCTCGTGGGGAGCTAGGCCGGGCGGCAGGTCCGGCGGTCCGTCCTTCCTTTCCCCCCTCCCCTAGTGGTCGGCGGCGCGCGTGCCGTGCGCTCTGCTCCTCTGCTGGCTCCTGGCCCCGCTCCCTGCCGCCACAGCCTCCTCCGCGCCCCACACCGGGTGCTCTCGCTGAGTCTCCATCCTCCCCGCAGGAGGACCTTTAAATAGCAACGTCAGCGCGCTCCTCTCCGCACACACGTCACCCGCCGTTCACGTCACCGGGGTGCGGGGGATGATGTCACGCGGCCGGAAGTACTGCTAAATTAGGGAAGGAGCAGGGGGAGGAGGACTCGGCGAGCTCTTCTGTGCCCACCTGCTCTCGCTTCTCCTTAAAGGCCAAAGCGCAGGAGACAGCCGAGAGGAGCGGCGGGAGGAGGAGATTTCCTTGCAACAAATGTGCCAAACACAAGTGAATCATTCATAGCAACAGTGCCGAAGTGTCAAGCGGGTGATAGCCTATCTCCCACTCCCACCCCTGTTGCAGCAGCTTTCCCGGGTTTCTCAAGTCCCCACTAGCACGGAAATGTGGGAGGAGAGACTGAGCACAGTGGTAGATATGTTTCCAGCAAGACTTGGGGAAAAGCACCTTAATTTTCGAAAGAGTTATTAAATGCCATTCTGGACTTAGTAGGCTTTAAAACTTTTTTTCTTTCTTAGTGGCTACCTAAATCACTAAAGAATAAAGAGCAGAGCCATGAACACTATCTTAATGATATGAAGTATAATAATGGGGTGGGAGGCATCAAATGATCTAAACGTTTTCATTTGCAAAACAGCAATGTTTTGGCATAGGATAATGAGTCAATCTTGACTTTGTTCCCTTATAATTATCGTCATGTACAACACATAGCAAATCCCAGTGTACCCTTTCAGTTCTGGTTTATCAAGAATATGAGTTTCAGTCTATGGAAATTGAAAATAAGAAAGACTACCAAATCCTTTTTATTTAAGTATTAATACAAGCACAGTTAGACTAATTTTGTCTTCCTTAGTTTTGACCGTATAACGTATAACAATATCTCTTAAGTATGCTGTTTTTCATTTCCTATATGGCAACGATGAGGAGCCATCTATCTTTAGGTTTACTAGCTATGTGTGTGTTTGTGTCTATAATAAATCATGCTATGAATGCTCTTCAAATTCCAAATTACTACAAAGTTTTTTAAATGTCTCCATTATTTCATAGTTTATTATTAGGTCAACTCAAATAATGAACTTTGATTTGATCTGATTAAACATGATAACCATGGCCCCAAAACAGAGCTACTACAAAATGCCAAAGGCTATTGCTATTTCAGAGTTAGTCTATAAGCTCAGTGACCATGTTTTCCAAACCAAAATCCAAACACATCATTTAACAATAGACAAAATATTTGGAATCTGAAGTGACCTGGGAAATTCAGGACATAGGATTGCCAACCTATTCAGTGATTGTTAGGAGAGCTGTAAATGGATATCAGTGCAGTTTAAATACAAGGAGCTAAAACTCTACGGAATTTATATCACATGTATTTTTAATGTTTTGAATATTAAACTACTCACATGATTCCTAATTAAGGAACATTGGTTTTTACTTCTTTCTGCATTTACGCTTTCTTGATCAAGTTAGGAGCCCAGGACTAAAGAACAACAGCCAAAAGAATTAGGACCAAGTTGCAACTAAATCAGGCTTTCTGTTATCTTCACATTATAAAATCATGATCTTGCTTATAGTTTGAAATATCGAAACTAGTTTTTATTAAGGTTATAACAACAAAAGTTGATCAAAAGCAAACCCCTGCTTGCCAATTTGTCTAATATATCTATATATATCATATTAATAGAAATTGTACTAATTTATATATCAAACAAATGGAGCTTCTTAAGTGTGTATAAAATATTAAAGCAATAGAGCTATCATTCTTCAAATAAAGTCAACTCTTGGCCCTTGCAAATTAAAATACAAATTATTACTCTACTCAAATTTCTCTACAAGCCATTTCCTATCTAAACTAAATCACTTTTCTCTCTTTTGTGCTCTTGCCATTGATGTTAATTAAAGGTCTCAATTTACCATTTTCAAACACTTCATTCTACCCTTTTATCATGACTTCCTCTGGTTTACAATCTTTTTTCCCCTCATCTTTACTCAGCTGTCAAAACAGTATGTTATCTGCCTCCCTGCTTTTACAATGTTCACCCGTCATTAGCGTTTCTGCTTTTCAAACCTACATGGTCCCTCCTCAACTGCTCTTTTGGTCAACTGAAAATTGAGAACAACTTTTTTTTTCTATATAAATCTCAGTGTGCACTGTGATATAATTACTCGAAGTTTGTGTGATTATTTTTTATTTTAACCTCTGCACTTAATCTAGAAAATTCTACCAATAATTGGTCAATTTTTCTTTCTAACTTATGTGGGATTAGCATATAAGGTAATACATGCGTTCATGTACCCAAAGGAATAAGTAAAACTTTGTAACATTTTATGTATCATGGTATGTCTGCTCAGAAAATATAATAATAAATTGTCTTTCTCCTCCCTTGAAACAATTCCAGTACCATTTTGAGAGGAGTCAGAGAAACATTCTATATGGCTTTCCATCTAAAAGTAAATATTTTCTCTCCTAAAACTGAGCTGATGTAACCCAAATGCTAGTCATGAATTTCCCATCCTGATTGTTTTGTTTTTTAAAGTAGTGAGCTTCCTAGAAAGCAATATATTTTCTTTTACCGGAAGAGGCAGAAAGTACTTTAGTAGAGTTTCAAATTTTTAACAGTTCCTTTTTCCCACTATGCTCTGAAAATTTGTGGCAACGTTTATGAAAACCCACTGATTTTAGAATCTGTGGGTGGAGGCATCTGTTTTAGTTACAGAGTTTACTTCCATGCCCTCAATAGGGGATGGTGCTGTTCAATGGGATGTTCATAGATAGGTCATGAGATATGTCTTTTTCAATGAAAAGATATCTAGGTGATAGAAAAACCTTCCATGAAAGAGGGTTAAAGCCAGATTTTATTTTTAATTGCTTAACATTAGATAATAGCAACTCCCCTTCCACGTTCTTTTTCATTACCAAAATACCACTATTGCTTCAAATAAAGTCATAGGTAGAAACAATAGATTAAAAGATATCTCTCCATATCACAGAAATCTCTAGATTCCTCACTTCTGTGACATAGTTATGAAGAAACTAAATAATCAGCAAAGATTAAAAGTAATAATAAGAAAAGGCTTTTTGAAAAGTTGTAGGGAAATAGAATTTATCCAGTTGATGCTCCAAAGTTATTCCATCTCCTCCATAAATGTAGCAGGTACTGGGTGCCAGTAATTTGTTTGGCCTGTTTAAAACCATCTTTTACTATTATCAGTAATGTTCTGAATAGAAACAGGGTAGTTAACAGTCTCAGGGGTGAAAGTCTAAGCATTTAGCACCTCCAAGGCAATAGCTTGAGGACAACTTTTACCCTTCTGAGTATCTGCACTGTTTTATCAGAGGGCTTGGGAGTGGTAGAGGAAGGGAAGTCAGAGAACTACCCTTAGGAAAGATATGATATAAAGCCCATGGGCAGTGATCTCATAGCACTATCTCCTGCTCTGATTTTTACTGTAAATTCATTATTTGTTTTCTAAACATGGTTAAAGAGATACAACTAGAATCCCAGACTTGTGAAAGAACATACCAGAAAGTTTTCAGTTGGTGCTGTGAGAAAATCATTGTACAACGGTTTATGTAAATTTTTAAAAGATTCAGAAGAGAAGGGGATATGGTGCCTTTGAAAAAATTATCTGGCTTAACTCCAAGTTGTTTGTTTGGTTGGTTGATTGATTGTTCTAAACAGCGGTTACAGAGTACAAAAAATTCAGAGTACAGGCTGGAAAAATATGCAAATCTGCAGAGACCTAGGGTAAAGAACGCAAAGTAAAGCTTGCGCTCTACCTGTGCAGTTCCTTAGAATGCAAGGCTGTGGAAGCTGATTGCCATGGTAACCAATAATCTTTCTGCTGAATGGGGGAACAGGACAACCATGAGGAAAATGTTTTAAATGATCTACCTTATTTTGTGATGGTTTTGGTGCCAGCTAGGAGAAAAACACCATCCAAGGTATTTAGGACAGCCATGCTTAAAGGAAGCTGCCTTCTTTTCAAAGACACGAGGCTGAGGCAAAAACTGGGGGCTCTTTCAAAGAGAGATAAGGGGTTGAGGTGACAATTGCAAGCTCTCTGAAGCAGAACATAATTGGTAAAGACTGACATGGCTAAAGCAGGCAGAAGCAATACCTAGAAACTGTGTTGAAGGGTCTCCCGAGCATAAGAGGTCAGACATGAATAAAGATTCTCAACATTTGGGAGTTTCAGCCAAGTTAGCTTATGTTACCCGTGAGACTTTTTATTTCTTTTTATCTGGTTGTAAATAGTAATTTCTCTAAAATTTAAAATGGAAATGGTAAATATATCTTTAGTCAGTATCTATTATTTTAATAATAAATAATATTCTTATCATATACATGATAAATATGTATATTGATATAGACAGATAGCTAGATAGATCTGTATAATATGCCTGTATTGACTGGGTCATCTGCAAAAATCTCTTACCCTTGGAATAAAATCCAAATTCCACGCCTTGGCCTAAGAGACACTGCATGACAGACCGCTGCCCACCTCTCTTACCTTGGTTACAGTTCCTCACCACCTCCACT